AAAAACTGGGACAAATCAGTGGTTTTGGTTAAATCTGCTGGGACAGGGGACACAGGACTCAAAACTGGGACTGTCTGGAGGAAAATAGGGACATCTGGTCACCCTAACCTAAACAAATGTGTTGTTTAAATCCATTTTGTTTTTCTTGAGTTTTCCGACTATCTTGTAATTTTTTGATAGTGTTTGTTAATGTGTACATTGCGTCTCTATGGCAGGAATCTCCAACCTGTAGCTCGGGAGCTATGAGTAGCTCTCCACCCCGTTTCAAGTAGCTCACCAAGGGATTTTTTAATTACACTCACTGTCCTGACTAACTCAGATTTGTTTAATTAAATGTCTATTGTCCATTATTATTGTAAAACTATCATTTTGATGCCCGACTTTGTGTACTCATAATAAATAACGTTTTATGTTTTACCCCATGTAAGTCTTGCCATCGTGCTTATGTACACTTTGTTTCCTGTGATTGCTAAAATGAGTAGCTTTCCAGTATTTTCGTTTTGTAAAGAGAGCTCATCTGAGGAAAAAGGTTGGAGACCCCTGCTTTATGGTAACTTCTAAAAATTCCACTGTTAGAGATTCATAGAATACCCCCAGTGTGATGTCACTGTAAAGTATCAAAGTTTTAATGTTTAATTATAGAAAAAAAGTGCTTTCTTATTGTGAGCTATATATAACAGATTATTAAAAATGTCTTAAAAATGTGAAAAACTGAATTCATTTTTAAACCTTTTGAAACAGTTCCTTACTTACCTTATGCATTCAGAGCAGCCTAATTATTCACCACAATGAATTTATAAACACTTTTCATAACTGTCAGAGACCAGCGAGAAGACAGCAACAACAACTAGCATGCTAATATGTCCTTCCTGATTACCAGTCAATTAAAGGCGTTCTAATTAGAGGCAGACAGCAGTAATGCAGAGGGTATATTTTGACCTCAAGTGCTGCTTATACAATCTGTCTGTACTGGGGTGTGATTCTAGGCAAAGCAATATCATCTCAAAAAAGATACAAGCAGGTGGGTGTTTGTGATCAGGACCTCGACAAGAAACAAGGAAAACCTTAATAGTCTGGGAATCTAACCCACGGCTTTCTCACAGTGAAGTAGTACGAGTGCTTCGCCACGTAGCCAGCTTCAGCATGTTGAGTAATAATAACAGATATCTAGTACTTCCTTGTAGTTTGTCTTTGTTCAGACTATTGTTAAAAGTGTGAAACAAACAGAAACTATTCAGAAGGATTACAGCTGGTTAAGTGATGTGTAGACAGGAGCTGCATTGTTCGTCAAAGAGGTGCAGGTTTTGACGAATATTCCTACTTTATTAAGACAATCGGAAGTACTGCAAAACTGTGTTAGTATTTCCATCCTGTACACACTTAACTTGCTGTTTCATCATGAGATGTTTCCATACATGCCACTGAAGTTACACAGTGCAATTATTTTGTTCTACTTTTCTTTAAACTAACCTGCAAATCATCCTACGTGTGTACTTTTGTTGGCATTAACGTGCTGGTATGGTATTATCCTGTCACAATTAACTACACGATTACATAAAGCATAAACCTGATCAGCCACTTCTGGTGCCAAAAGTCACACATGGTAAAAGTGATTATGGTTTCATTTTGAGTAAAATAAAACAGGAAATAGTAGATGGATGGCTGGATATGTAGAGGAAACATTTTTGATAAAGTACAGGTAATTACAAATGCTGATAGCAATCTGAGAGTTAAAAGGAACAGTGTGTAGCATGTGCAGTAACTGTTCTAAAAAAAGAAATACTACAATCACAGCTGAATCTGGGTTACCAGTGGCTTAACCTGCAGACAGAGACACGTGCAGGATTTTCCTCATTCTCAGCTTACAGACAGGACATCCTCACATGAATGCTCAGAACCTGCAGAATTCATTCACAGAGGCTGATTCACGATTGGCCCCAAAGGCAGGAGTGGATTCAGATCAGAGTCATTTTTTTCATGTGATCTGCTAGTTTCACACATACACATTGCAAGCTATCTTTCACAAAATGATTACTTGTGATTGTCTTTCCTTATTCATCCTCTCCTGTGATCAAATTTGTACCAAAAGTAATCCTAACCAGTAATGGCCCCACTGAGTCATACATTGATGCAATACGTCAAAATAAAAAAGTATTGCCTACAGTTATACTAATGAAACATGATGAACTGGCCAGACTCCTGAATACCCGAGTGTCTAATGTACTCTAAATAAATAGTGAATCAGTGCTGCCCCCTACTGCTCTTACCATATTCATTCATCATTTGATCAAAACATGCAGCAATGTCCTAAAAGATGTGTGTGTGCATGTGGCTCCAAGTACACATGGCAGGTTAGACTACTCATTTCATTAAAGCATATGGTAAATGGTAAATGGTCACATTTTTCTATAGCGCTTTTCCACCTTCAAGGCACTCAAAGCGCTTTACAACAAGGAACCACTCACCCATTCACACACACATTCACACACCAGTGTACGCAGACACTGTGGGCAAGGTGGGTTAAGTGTCTTGCCCAAGGACACAACGGCAGCATTCATCTGTGGGAGCTGGAATCACACCAGCCAACCTGTGGGTCAGTGGATCTGACCGCTCAACCTGAGATGTTTATGTTGAGAGCTGGATAGCATAGAGCATAGTTAACATCATTATATTTAAGATTTGAAGTTATATTTAAGTTTTTTTTTTCTATTTTTTGGTGAATTTTATAATTTTATTTAGATTTTTGACAAATGCCAAATACAAGCTGTGTATAAATGACACAATAGTTATGACTAGAGTCTAGACTACATGACAACACCTCTGTTTTATCTGACAGAATAAAAAATGTGTTTCTCTTTGCATCTTTGTTCCTACATTTTGGATGGAATTTTCAGTGTTGATGGAAAGGTAGCGTTATTTGTTTTGGAATTCAGTGCTATTTCCTGTATTTTTGTTGCCTGGAAAAATAGACAGAGGATATCTCTCTGTATTTGTATGAGTCTGGATTTTTCCAGGCAAGTGTTTTTGCACTTTTTTCTCAACTTTTTTCAATGCAAACTTTCAATTAAAGGGCCCATATTACAATATTTTCTGATCTGATGCAGTAATAGTGTGCTTGGTGAACAACTAGAAAACATAATGTGTATAATGAACACTGTAGTAGCTCTACAATGTGCAAATATCATGCCAAGATAAGATTATAACCTGTTATCTTTGTAAGTGCTAAATAATTGCCTGTGTGGTACCTGTGGTAAATATATTACCACATATTATTGTATTGTATTGTATTTTTATAATATTATTTATTTATTATCATTTCACATCACTTAAAATCCTATATTCCCCAAAATGGATTGTTGTGAGCTTTAAGCAAAGTTATAATGTTGTTTCCTCATCAAAAACCTACCTGAACTTGTGTTTTGTTTCATTCACACATTTTTAACACATAAATCCTCCATATTTAATTCATAAATGGTAAAAGGTAGCTGTTAGAAGAGAAAACTACCACTACATGACATCACAAGGGAGAACAAAGCCTTTGGAGCTTTGGAGACGTGGACTGACCAAGATTACTCAAACATGCGTGAATGAAACAAAATACAATTCCGGGTATGTTTTTGAGAAAGCAACAACATTATAACGTGGCTCAAAGCTCAGAACAATCTGGTAAATATGTGGTAATATATTTACCACAGATACCAGTATTTACTAAAGGCAAATATTTGGCAACTACAGAGCTTACAGGTTACAGTAATTTTATTCACACATGATGTTTGCACACTGTGGAGCTACTGCAGTGCTCATTATACACATTATATTTTCTTAATGTTCACTGTTCACTATTACTACATCAGTAACCCCATAACTATGTGCTTTAATGCCATTCACTGTGGAGGCAAATTAGCATCTCATAAGAGTTTGGGAAACAGACCCAGGGCAAATCTAATGAAGCATGGTGTGAGGAAGAGGGCAGCATCATCTTCAATACTCCCACACAGACTCACTCCTATGCCACATCACATCTCATCTACCGCTATGTCATACTAACCATGACTTAATCCTCATTTACCATCACTTTCATTGATGTTTTGATTGATATAGTGGTTTGAGTATATATATATTTTACCTTAGCCTTGATTTAAGTTAAAGGGATGTCAAAAATTAAAGTCACTCCCCCCTTCACAACACTATTGCATTACAATCTGTATGCACTCTGCTCATGATACCACTTGTATATTTATGAAGAATTGTTGTGTGGGAGCAAGGGTAACATAGGCTTGAAGACGGAGCATTGGACAAATTTTACAGCTAACCATAAGGAGGGTTCAGACAGGACCCAGGAGAGATTGCTAAATTACTCAAACATGCGTGGATGACATATAAAACCACTTCAGGCATGTTTTGATGATGGAATAATGTTATAACGATTTTGCATAATACCCCCTCTTTAAAACAGACGTTAGCTGGCCCCAGTTATCACTGTTTACACTCTGCTGGACCTGCATTTCAAAATCAGCAAATTGAGAGCTAAGATGATAACAGAGGTAGTTTATTTTGCAGACCAAATTTGCATAATATAGGCCCTTTAAGGTATACTACAAAACTTTTCTGGTGGAGGGTCTGCCATGGGTTTTATGGAAATGTTGTTGCTTAGCCTAGAATGTTCTAGATGCATTATACAATGGAGACAAATGAAGACTAGTAGGAAGGCTAGTAGTCCAAGTTATAGGTCAGATCTGTGGAGAGGCGAGCCCACTCACAGTACAAATGCATGTATTTGAGCATTAAAAACCCTTGTAATTTACTAAATGCAATCAAAACAATAACACCTCCATGGAGACAAGCAAGGGGCTGAGCTCTCACCTGAAAAATTTGGAGCTTTAATACCAGATGCCCCTCTGTTTAATGATATGTAATAATTTGTAAGTTTCTTCAATTTAAGTTTAATATTTTTCTTTCACATAAAATTACATTGACTTACATATAAACAATAGCACCCTTCTATGCACGTAATCTCTTTTCTTTCTTGTAAACATTTGAAAAGGTACCACTTGTAGCATATTTAAAGTGTAAGAAAACTATCAGCTAAAAGGCTACAGCGCGTAATGTCCACACTGCTGGTTCAGACATTGACAAAAGAATAGATTTCCTGCTTGTATTCAGTCAATATGCACTGATTGCAGACACCGCGGTTATCTTGACTGTCTGGACTTGCATTGATGATTAACACAGGCACTAGTCTGTCTGGTCTCCACACATCTCCATGGGGGTCTTCTGGGTGGGCTCTGTGCAGGAGCTTTGAGGCTGCTCCAGGCCACAGTGCATCAGGGGCACGCAGATGTCGTCCATGTTAGGGAACACAAACACCTTCTGGAAAATAAAGTGAAATGAATGAATCTGGTTATTTCCCACGCTGCAAAAACTTTATATAGATTTAAGTAGTTTTCATTAGGTTAGATGTCATTGTTTATTTGCCTAGTGCCTCTGCTCAATTTAATTTCTCTCTAGCGACTAGGTCAGGAATCAGAATACACTAGACAGCTTGCAAGAATCCCGGAAGTTGTAAACCGCGCACCGGCCAATCACCGAAGAGCTGTGAAGCCTTGACTGAGTCCCTTTTTGTGGTACAGCACAACAGTAAACAAAGCAGTCGAGATGGACGTAGATGAAGCCATACATTCTGTTTTGGCAACGATTCCCAAGATCGAGGATTTAAAGCTGGACCAAAGAAAATGGTTGGTAAATTCTATCAAGGGGAAAGATCTTATTGCCCTTCTTCCTACGGGATTTGGGAAAAGCTTAATATACCAGTTAGCCCCGTTAGCAGCGCATTACATACGTCATGACCAAATAGCAGCGACTGGTTAAATAAAAAAAGTACTGCGAATCTGGTTTTCATGAAGTGAAACCGGCTGATGAATCAGGCAACAATATTTCACAAGTCACAAGAAAATGAAATAAGAAAATAAATATGCCAATGGGGTAAGTAAGCTCTAACCCTATTTTAAATATGAAACAGTGTATTGAAACCAGTCAGAAACATTCTGAAATAAGTGAAATTATTTTAGCCCTTCATGTAAATAGGTTGACTATGTAATATTTCTGGTGGAGAATGCAGCAAAAGCTTCTATTCCTTGGAGATGTTATTACTTTGACATTGTATGGCATTAAATTTATCATCCTGGAGACAAGCAGGTGGCAGCAATAAAATATCTCATAACTGAATAAAAAGCAAGATAAAACATTCCAGGCAAAGTAATAACATCTCCATGGAAGCAAGCAAGGGGTATTTCTACAACCAGAAAAGTTACATTGTGCACCATTAACTGGTCAAAATGTTGGAAATTAAGCAACATGTACTGAATTCAGGTCATTTAAACGAATCGGATGTGAACTGCCTTATACCCCCTAAGCAGTAGATCTGTCCTATATTCACCTGAAACTCTTCTTGTAGTTTCTTTTCGATCCACTCTATCACATGGCAGAAAGTCACCTCCCGCTCACCCAGTTTAGGACGTACATGGAGATCCAGCTTGGGTGGAGAGCAGAAGCTGTACCTAAATTCATACATTCATACACTCAGTCTGTGTCATATACTGTATACATTTGACAGTGAGACAGATGTAATGTACCATATTCGGTCAGTAGGGGGCGGTGGTATGTTGATGACCAGTGCCCCTGACAGCTCCTGGACCTCCACAGTGAGTAGCAGAGGCGTGTTGGACATCTCCTCAAACTTCTTCTTGATAAACTCATTTTCCGCCGCCTTCTGGAAATACTTGGACTTGGCGATTTTGTCTACAAATCTCAAAATCTTCCTCCCGGTCTTCCCGCCCCCCGCACTGTGAAAACAGATTAGATACTGACGTACTAAAGATATAAAAAGACGACTATTGAGTCCAATATAAATAAAGCTGGCGCCATCTGGAGTGTGAAGGCGGCACTGTTTACTTGTTCTGCTTTGGGCATCACCATAGGAGGGAGAAGTCATGTGTTCTATAATAACATTAAGCTCAGATGACTCAGCGACTGAATTTAACCAAGCAACAAAGTAATCAGTTTAATCCAAAGAATATGTAAGCACTCCAAATGGCAAATTGAAACTATGAATACGCACATTAAAAGGTAAATACAAAATTAACAGAATAACTATACAGAAAGCTGTCCTTAACTTGAGACATTTCTGGTGCTTACCCTTCATTTGTCGTAGTGGAGGATCCCTTGTCTCCCACAGGCCCCTGAGGCTCAGAAAGAAGCAACTCCTCTTCATCTGATGATCCAGCGCTGGAGGACTCCTCGTCACTGTCAGCTAACACACTGAGGACTGGCCTGCACCTGGGCACAACAACAATATCCATTCCTAAGTATAAAATAATCACACAAATTTACTCTACGTTACCCATAATCCTCACAAAGCCCCACCATTATTCCCAATTGCGAACATGATGCTCTTGAACGTGAGGTAGTTATGAAAACTTTCTCAAGGTTTTATAATAGGATTGTAACAATAACCATGACCCAGTCTCTATGATGGACTGCAAAAGGAGCCCCCATAGTGTCTCATTAATTTTACCCATAGACTTATTTTTTATCTATCTATCCATCTATCTATCTATCTATCTATCTATCTATCTATCTATCTATATCTCTCGCGCTCAATGCGATACAAAACAAAAGAGACATGACCCGACCTCCTCTCAGGGAAGCAGACACACACACGCATGCACACTGTGCCCAAGTGTCTCCTATATATATATATATGTGTGTATATATGTATAAAAGTTTGAAAACTTGCTCCGGGTTACCGGTAATCAGTTATGTGGTAATTAATAACCACAAGACTAAAATTTTATTTCAAATCGGTTTCTGAAACTTTATAAACTGCCCATTTATTTAAAATATTCACTTGTATTTTAAATGTGCCTTTTGGACTTCAAACAAGCAGACAGATACATAATAATGAAGAATGATTCTATTAGCAAAATTGAAAAAATCTAAACAAAAAACTCCAACCAGCAAAGTCATTAAAAAAAAAAAAAAAAAAAAAAAAAAGATAAAAAAAACCCTCTCCTATTAGTTTACATTTGAGTTTTTTAGTAGAAATTTACAGTCAGAACATGGCTGCTGAAACTGGCCGTCTGATTCCTGTCGTTTTATTTATGCAGCATCTTTGCTTGCAGGGATGAGCAAAATAATGATTTGACCAAATAACATTCAAGTTTTGAAATCTTTTACATGTAAAAAAAAAAAAAAGATTTGCAGTTATTTGTAAACTAACCGTGGTGTTTTTGTATCCGGTGTGAACTCTACTTCTTGACCACCTTCTTTTCCCAGTTTGGACAGGTTAAACTTGGTCTGAAGGGTCATCTGTAACCCACCATTGTAAACAAGCTGCAACTCCAACCACAGCCCTGCAAGACAACACATTAAATCAAAATAAAATTAAATAAAAAATCACCATTTACACATAGGCCGATTAAAAACATTCATTGTGATTAATGCATGTCAAAATGATGCATGTATGATCTGATGTACATCAAGCTGTGAAATGTGGGACAGGATAATCGCTGGAGGACAATTGTGTAACCATAAACTATACACACATGAAGAGGGATCGACAAGAACAACCGTACAAGCATAAGGTCAGCCACATGCTAACATGTTAAATCCCCCGGTCATCAGATCCTGATTTTAAACATGCCAATATGCTGTAGATATGACAGGCCAGGGTTAAATAACTGTGTGATGTAGATTACAGCTCTTTAACAATGTCTGGACCAAGACTGGGTATGCATTGCTGTAATAATCACAACAGCAACAGGTCTGCACATGGCTCCGTCTATAAATGTGCAGAGGATTCAACTGCTTTTCATGTCCTATTTTTATACCACATGTAATAGGGTTTATTGTTTTTTGCATTAACAACTTTGCACATTGGCGCTAGGGCACAACCCAAGCTTTGTCTCTAGGGTTCAACAATATACCAACTCAAAGGTAGAGCTGGACAACACACTTGATTTCCAATTGGTGGGTTAGGATTCAGGTTTAATACTCACTATTATTTGTGTCAAATTAACATGCTCTGCCTATTACACCTAGTGCAAGTATTCCAGAGTCTTTTGAAGTAATGCATACTGTCACACTAGCCTCGGAGCACTGTAGGCGTGGGTCAGGGGGAGGTGCGGATCTGAAGAAGGAATCCCTAAGAACTACTCTACACTACTTTATGGACACATATGTCCCCTCATTAAGGTGATGTTGCCATGTGAAAATGTTTCACATCGGTGAAATGAATGTCTGGCAGCCAACAACAGTATAGGCTAACGTGAGATTTCAAACACCCTCTGGGTGGTGTAAAAAAAAATTTAAAAAAACACCCTCTGGGTGGTGATTCAACCCTCAATCTACTTAATGTTCATTGATATTTAGATAACTGGCACCAAATTATTACTGTACAAAATACATTGCACCCACCTCGAGGGTTGATCTCAGGTTTGGAGGTTGCTGTGATAAGAGGCATAGACGTGCCCAGATCCATCTCTGTGACAGTCAATTCATTCATGAAATAAGGCAACTGTAAAACACGTTACAAACACAATGCAATACACAAGGTTAAAATGACATTGTTCTTAACATTCCAGGTAACATACAAAGCTTTTATACACACTCTGATAGTGCTGAGCTTCTTCTGGATCTTGGTGGAAACCATGTCAGCGTAGTACTTCTCTCGCAGGAAGTCCCAGAAGATTCTACCAATCAGAGCATTTATCCATGCAGTTTGGCCTTTCTCAGGGTGCTCTGCTACATCACAGGTACACTGCACAAGAGGACAGAGAATAGAAAATTGACCAATCCTTGGTAATATGTAAAATGTGGAATTTTCCATACAAAATGTGGGTGGAATGTAGATCATTTCTGTCTGACTGCACTTACATGTCCTCTGACTGCGGTAGGGCTTTCTGTGGTGCTGCTGGCTCCAGGGCTCCAGAGTGGCGTTAGCTCGACAGCGCACAGGAGCTGGCTCATGTAGCTGTGGTAGTCGAGTGCTGGCTGGGTCCTGGTGCTGCTGTGAAGGACTGGAGCCTGGGCACAGGAGGTGGAGGGTTCATCTTCACTGCCCACTCTGCTAGAGCCCCTACTGCTCACAAGTGTATGGAGAGGTGCATGGACATCACCTGGATAAGACAAAACTGTGTCATTCAGAAAATCAGAGACAGACAAGCAACTAATGAGAGCTGAGAGAGAAAGTTAGAAATGAACTGTTCTGTAGAGGGAATAGTTTAGTCAGTGTACACATAACACTATACATATTATATAATGTACAAAAACTGGTATTCTAAGGTCATACTACAAAAATAAGAAAAACAAAATCATATGTGAAGGAGCGGTGCAAGAAACAAAAATAATGTCAGAAAAATACTCAGAAAACAGTGTATCGAAATCACCTTTAATCATCTTTTAATAGTAGAGTTGATCATGTATAATGAAAGCATGCACCACAGCTACGTATTAATATTTGTTTTGTGTATTTATGTATGTATTCTGACTCATATTACTTAGACTAGGATAAAGTATTATAATATGTCTAGGCGTATTACAATATGTCTAATAATGACTGCTTGTAAACATGGTGTGTACTACTATGCAGATACTATTGCATGGAGATGATGAGAGCAAAGGTGATGTTTTTCTCAGAACCCATGCACCACTATCAGACCAGTGTTTCCACTCAAAAGGGATTGAAATGCCAAGAATTGGAGCATGTAATCCATAATCCACACATAAGTATCATGTGTGGAGCGCCTTCTCTAGTAGCCTTCTCTTGTCTAATGCATTCACTTGCCACATACCCGATCTGCCCACGCATCTGTCGACCTCCCTCTCCCCGTGCTCTTCCTCTGACGCCAGCAGAAAATGCCTGTACCACTCCTCCTTTTCTCTCCCTGTGCGTCCAAACAGGTAGAGAGTGGAGGGGTTGGGAGAGCGTGGTAGTTCAGCGCTGTCCTCCTCTGACCCGCCCTCTGTCTCTAGGTAGCTGCTTCCTTCACACAGCTGCAGACACAGGGGGTACTTAGGGTTCCATTGTCGTTTCTGGGCCAGTACAGAGGGAAGCAGGGAAACCTTTATGGGAGAAAAGCATGTTTTGTATTGTCAGAACTAACAGATGGTGTGACCCAGTAGAGAATCACAAAAACATTTTTTTTAAAGTTACACTTATCAAATGGGCTACTGGTCTGAAAAAATAGGATGGCATTATCTGGATTGCCATCATGGCCAAAATAATTGCAATTAATGATTATATCTATTTTAATCACATTAGGTTTGTGAAGCTATAGTTTTGTATCATTCTTTTGTATATTTATGGAGAATTGTCGTGTTGGAGCATGGATGACGTAGGCTTGTGGGCGAAGCATTGGACAAATCTTACAGCTAACCATAAGGAGGGTTTGGATAGGGCAAGATCGCTAAATCACTCAAACAATTGCGTAATGTGGCCTGGAATGTTACACTTGACCTCCATTAACATAAACAAGTGGTGCCACCAGACTCAGTTACAGATCAGATCTATGGAGAGGCAACCCTGCTGACAGTGAGAATGTATGTTTTTCAAGGTATTTTTGAACCATAAAAACACCTGTAACTGACTAAATGCAAGATCGATTAGGTTTAATGCCATACTGTGGAACATTCTAGAAAACGCAAAAACATTTCTACGGAAACAAGCAGGTGGCAAAACCCTACAAGGAAAGTTCCACAATGTAGATTTAAGCTATAAATAAACTGCACAGTGATTCTTTTTGCGCTTACTCTGGTGAACTTGCTCCTGATTGCCTTGCTGAGCTGTGAGACTGGACATAAATGGTCTGTTTTGTTCTTACCTTGCAGTTTGTGAGCTGAAAGCAGCGTGTATTCACAAAGGCGGCATGGGGCAGCCTTTCACTGTACGTGGCCCGGCGGGTGATGTTGTTTCGGGGGCAGTGCAGGCGCAAACAGGAGCCCTCCAGAGTGGCAAACACAGAGTGGGACTGAGAAGTGTGGTAGGTCTCTGGGTCGTAATCACACACCTCATTCATCCAGCCCTGCAGGGAAACAACAGACCAAGTATGAATCTACACTGGGCCGGGAATGCAGGCATTTGGTACAGTGATGGAAATGAGGGACTATGCAATCAAGTAAACATTCTATCAAGTAACAAATCACAGTAGAATGTCTTCTGTAAGAAAACAGAATTAAAAAAAAAATCATAAAATGCTGCTATTGTACTTACTAAGCACAGAATAACAAAATACTGACCAATATAAATAGGGATAGGGTTAGGGATAGAGGCTAATGGGCATCACAACATTCTATATAGGCCTATAATATTTAATAAAGATGGGGAACAGCTAAAATTAATATTGAAATGCTGAATTTTGTTGCAAGGTCTTGGATCTAGTCATTAATAGAAATCAGGTTAAACACAAGATGAATTACCTTTTGGATATTTGTTGGCAAAGTACAATGTAATAATCAATAAGGAAAACTATTCTCTGGTCTCTTATCTGAAAGTACATCACATTCTAGATTCTGAGAACCACTTATACTTTTTCTTTTGGCTAATCTCTGTATTCAGTTGGTGGTTTGGGAATGTATGGGTTCTAAAGCCAAATGCCTGCCCTAGTGAGTGTAAACAAGGTGACATGATAAGGTGAGTGAAGTGATACTACTATTGCTACACTCATTGTAAGTGCTCACTATACTACCAGCAGTCAGCCCAAAATTGTGAAGAAATTAGTGATCACAGCACTTGCCACCTAATGTGAGTAAGGATAACCAATGGGTTTTAAATGACAACATTCTTTGCTATGGGCCTATATTTAATACAAATACAGTAGTCACTAGTCAACAGAATAGAAATTATCAGGTTCTACATTTTAGGTATTTTAGCTATTTCTTATGAGAACACCATGTAAACAATGTAAAAGTCTGTTTCTTACCCCCATCTGGGATTATGACAGCATTGCATTCTAGATTCTGAAAACCACCAATAATTAATTTATAGTATTCTGAGGCTGATGTGAGGTTTGTGTTATCCAAAGTTATTATTTACTTCTACTAACTTTGTCCAACTCACTTCCAGTAAGCTGTGCTGGGACATAAGTCTACTCAGCCATCATAACAAGCCAATCTAGTGAATAAACAAACCCAATGAATACTGTCTAAAAGCTGTTGAGCTGCTAATTGCACTTTGGACTGTTAACTCCTAATGACCAAACAGAGGATTTTACCCATCATGCCTCTAGCCTGACAAATGACCAGTCCAGCTTCTCCTCCGCTAATTGCCTGTGGAGCTGACAGTGTGTGGTGAAAGCTGAACTCTCTGGCTGTCCTGTGTCATCCAGGAGAGAGCTGTAATTACTGCTGCTCCACCACGTTTTAATATGAGGATTTGAACTGCACGGCCTGTAGTTACTGTAGTCACTCCAAGAGGCTTAAATTTAGAGGATTTAACTTGAATTTGGAGTCTTTTTCTTTTGGAGTTTGGTGTTGGGAGATTAAAGGTAGCTGGAGATTATCAAGACTGTTTACCCTATCTTGCAATGTTAAAGATGGACGATGCAGAGTGTTGAACGCATTCATTTCCAAGATAATGATGCTATGTATGAGTTTCAACTACCTGTTTATACATGACATTTTGAAGACACTTTTGACCATTCAGAACATTTATTATTTTATTTTGAATTGTTAGTTGCTATGGCAGTGGTTAGGGTTGGGCGATATATCGATATTTTAAATATATCGAGATAGTGTGACATGAATTCTGACATATCGTATATATCGATATAATGCTTATATTAAATTTTGATTTCGCCGCTTCGCTTGTTTAGCTTCTCTCGTCGCCTCCGCCTCCCTGATTTTGTTGCTCGTGTCTCCTTCACTCCTCACTACCGCCGTGAACACCGAACGTTGGTGAAAAGCTTCAAGCACCACGAACCTTTTCCACCATTTACAGACAAAACCACCAGCAGCACATCCTCATATTCCACCGAGTCGCGTCCTTTAGCCCGAAAGAAGCTAAACGAGCTGAGCTGCATGACAAGTGCGCTGTTTATGCAAAAGAGCCATGCGCTTAAGTTTCATTTCTGTAAAATGTAAACGCACATGCGCAAAACTGCATTAAACACATTATTATTTCAAACGAGCTGATGTGGCTCTATAGTCGTTATGCCTTATATATTGTAAAGTTTATTTATGCAGAAGATTTTAATTAATAATCTGCTGCAGTGTCACTTGTACAATAGTGTTTGGAAACGTTGGGTTTGATCTGCAGTGGATTGTGGGAAACCTCAGAGCTCCTTACTGCTGGATAATAACATGGATCTGTTAAAATAAGGAACATCCTGAACGTTCCTCTGCTAAAGGAGCTCATGGTTCTGGTTCTGGTCTGGATAACAGAGTTAATGCAAAGATGAGCTTGTGTTCAGTTGTTTTATTTATGAATGAAAAGAAGAAAATATGTTTTATTAATTTTATTTTACAGTTAAATTATTATTTATGTAATTAGGGTTTTTTGTAATCTTAAATGTTCCTATATGAACTGCCAACCTCTTACACTTCAATTTTAAAAAAAAAGGACCTTGTGGAATTTGGCAGATTTGTTTTTGCAGTTTTCAGTTTTAGGGGGTTATTTTTTCTTGAACATATATCGAGATATATATCGTATATCGAGATATAGCAAAATATATCGAGATATATTTTTTGATCCATATCACCCAGCCCTAGCAGTGGTGCTAGATTTCTATCACTCTGAATCCCATGAATACTGAGATTACCTCACGAGGAGAGTTCACAAACCCACTTCAGTCCATGGACAAGTTTGCTATCCTTTTAGTATCTAATAATGAACACAACTGAAATTCAATAAAGACAGATACATTCAATGGAAGATTCCAGGAAAAGCAATAACATTTTAATTTGGTGATACACTAAAGATACATACGGAAGCTTGGATTAATTTAAAATGACATTATTAATAGCAAGACTTGTCACGGTAATTTTTGACAAGTCTTTCTACAAATTTAATTAGCAAACATGTTATGCCATGCACTACATTGCAAACCAACACCAAAAAATCCTAACGCCCAAATTAAGATATATCAAATTATTATATGCAGCATTATATTAGTTATCCCCATAATTTCTTTTCACACATTCTGAAAGGTTGTTTATAAGTATATGTGGAGACAAAGCGATAAATAAAATGTGACGATTTATTCCCTCTTATTTTTACCTTCAGGGTGTCAGACTCAGTCCTTACAGCAGCACCTGTTAGAATAGCCTCTCCGAGCATGTTGTGTACTTTTCCACGTTTATGATCACCACTATTTGACCTGGTTGTACTCAGTCTGATGAGCAAGAGTCCAATCAAGAAGCCCAATGCTACACCGAAAGCCATGCCAGAAAAGTATGGACCCAGCGGCAAAATGAAGTACCCATATGAAAGAATGCCAATGCAAAACAAACTCATGTGTGGGAGGGGCGTGCTCTTTACTGGGGGCTTGTCCGGGATATGGGGAGGAGATGAGGGCTTTTCGGTAACTGATATCTGCACCACATCGCCATCAGCAAAGACTTCTAGCTCTTCGTCTTTTTGGTGATGACGATTGTGGTGAACTGGGCATGTCTTTCGATGTTGTTTATTAAAAGGTGGCCATTCGAAAACCTGTGGAATATCGTCCGATCTTTTTGCATTCTTTCCCGGTGACTCGACAAAACTTGAATCCGTGCTACCGTCCTGTGCCATGCTTCTAGATAGGACCGCTTGTTTTTTCTGATTGTGCTTGGGACTACCTCCGCTCTCCTCGCGCATGATCTTTTGAAACATGCTACTGAGAGAATGTTCATGAACCGCTTCCGAAAACTTCCTCTTGGTGTCTTCGAGCTCCATTTTGAAGAAGCTGCCTTTCCCGCCCTCGCCACTAGGGGACAGCATGCTCGGGGATGGCGGTGCAGTGCGGGAGTCGCCATTGCTGCGGGTTTTCGGTTGGGTGAGCTGCTTCCAGAGGTGCAGGTTGAGGCGGGAGTCCGATTTTGATTGTGAGATCTCTGGTTCTGATCTGGAGATTTCTGTCGAGATGGATTTGACGAGATTTAGAAGAGGTTTCGGTCTAAGTGTGGCGCCTTCTTTGATTTCAAGTTCAGAGGAAAGAGACTTGACCAGGTTGGTAAATGGGCGGTGCGTTGGGGAGGAGGGGCCCGGGGAGAGAAAGCTCGTACCGGAGCAGTTTCCTAAAGAGCTAGGGGTTGAAGAAGATTGGGGGACGTGGCATGGTGGAGCGTGGAGCAATAGATCATCATTTACAGAAAATTGCCGTTCTCTGGTAAGAGAAATAGTTGGGTAATCCTCGTCTAGGGAAAAGATTAGCTCGCTGTCATCCAAGCTATCCCACTCCCCCTCTGTCCCCGTCAGCTGGATGACAATGCCCCGGGGGACGTGTCTCTTGGTCCCATTGGTGCTGGCCGACTTGGGAGACAGGGTGGGGGGCGTGGCGTGGGGCTCCCGGACCTTTCTTTCTCCGGACCTGCTAGGTCCACTGGCCGCCATTTGGACTTTACATCACAGGTTCAAGCCATTGAAGAGTTACTGAAAGGAAAGTGTATATACAGGTTAGATACTGTAATTTAAAGCAAATTTACAATTATGTTTTTATCTGTGAGCAACAATGAACAAAAAAGAACACATTTAAAGTAGTTGTACTCATTTTTTCATGTAATAGTCAAAAATAGTTTTGACCTGGTACATAGATTATAAAAGCTCTTAGTGCCGAAATGAGACTGCTGTGTGCTGTCTACATCTAAATTAGAGATGCACCGATACAATACAATAATGGTATTGAATATCAGAGCTGATACTCAAGAATTATATGGATCGGGTATCGGTTCGAACCAATATCATGGTTGGATCTGGTTTTGGCCTGGAATGTCTCATAATGTTGGAACCTTTCTTCATACAAAACTGTTAAGTAGTTATTTGAAGGATAAATAACAGTTACATTACACATTGGTAATAAACAGTTTTTGGGTGAAAAAAGGACATTCTCAGTCCCTACACCAGTATCGGTTAATATCAGGTATCGCAGATCCTTTAAGTCAAAGTACTGATATCAGAACTGAAAAAGGTGGCACCCCAAATCTTACTAGAAAGCGTTTTTAAACCAGAAAGTGCACTGTTAGCATGGTAGTTGTTAGCATCACCGTAATGGCAAAAGTTGTGATAAGCGATTATAAACTCCTTGCAGGTAAAAAAAATAAATAAAAAATTAGAATGCTAGTTGGATAAAAACATAAGTAAAAAACGTAAGTTTGGACCGCTGCAAAAGTTTTGATGACAGATACAGCAGCTTTAATTTTTAACTGCTTTTTAGGTCAAGCAAATTGAGTTCTTTTAAAGACACAATTATGCAACATTTTCAGTTTATAATGGTGTCCTATTCAGCTACTGGCATTATAACACAAATACTTTTTGATGATGTTGTTTTCCTGAGCATCCATTGGTGAGCTGCATGCATTTACATTTAAAAGACTGGAGATCTGAGCTTGCCTACCACCTCTCCCATAGCTGCCGTTCTACATAGTGAACCCCCTTAGATGCATGTATAAATAGAAATGCAATATTTCCCCCAAACATGGCACAAAGTGGGTTTGGTTGTTATATCGATCTATATTGTGAAACACAACTAGAAACAGATGGTAAAATTATCAATGCATGTTACCTGACAGTATGGAAATGTGTTATTAAACCTAAATGTGAATAATAGTGGTATCACAATCACAAATAGGTAGGTTCCATAGTGATACATGGGCGTATACTAGTCCATGTGCTCTTATACTTGTACTGATACAGCTCAAGATCATTCTAAAGCTGTCCTTTGAATGTGCTTTTATAGTACTGGCACTTGCTCAAATGAGTCTCTAGTTTTAATACTAGTTTTAGTTTTGATTTCAATACTTTTAACAACCTTATATGTGATAAATTAGTCTACTTTATCCATTCCTTAGGGATCCACAAAGCCACAATCTCTCTTACTGATGTCTTCAAACACTTCTGAAGAAATTCTTACGTAATACTGCAATGAATAGTGAGGGGACTTCAAAGTAACCCCTACAGAGTAAAAAGCAGTGCCCTTTTTAATGCTACCACCAACTGTCATAATTCTACTTAAACCTGCTAGCACACACAAAATGTTGTCTGAAAAGAGCATTGTTGCATCCAAACACATACAAAGAGGTGGATAGTACTCAGTTACATTTACTTGAGTAACTTTATGATTTAGTTTTTCCAAATTTTTGTGGTCTGTCATTTGTAAATAATGGATTTTGTGCATTATTTAATATTTTGACCTTCCATTTACATTGAATTATAAATCAGATAGAAGCCTACATCCCAACAGCTACTTTTTAAGTAATTTATGTGAGTAGTACTTTCCCCAAATACTTTTTTACTCTACTTTAGGAATTTCTTGGATCACTACTTTGTACTTCTACTTGAGTAATATTATTTTAAAGTACAGTTACGCTTACTTGCTTACAATTTTGGGCTGCTCTACCCAACTCTGCACGCACATTACTGAGATAGGCCTCGAGCACAATAGGCACGAGGGTCTCTGTGGGTCAAGTGCCCTGCTCCCTGTACGACTTAAACCCACCTCACTGACTGCTTTACGTAACTGTATTATGCAGCGTCGTGTGGCACTGTTTCAACCAATTCCACAGCAGCTGGTGGATTCTGACTAATCTGCTCTCGCCCCAAAATGGACGGTGGGGAGATAAAGCTCACAGACACACAAACGAACAGCATTTAGAGCCATGGGAGCTTTGCGCAATGTTGGAAGTGCAGCCAGGAGAGCCACTGCCAAAATACATATTAATAAAGGTCTATGACAAAACGCTAGGTAGGTCGTATGTGCTATTGTGTAAGATTTTCTCTCTGTCAAGGACATTTTAGTTAAAGAGGGGGTATTTTATGTCTATGGGGTCTTTACTACTAACTCCTAACATATTTAGATCTGCAGGTTATCTTCTATTGTTTTGAAAATGCGATATTTGCCTAAAACAATGTATTCTCACGTTTTTTATAAGTTTAATTTAGTGCTCTGAGTTTCGCCTCCCTTTACTCCTCACGCTAAGTCACTCCACCATCAGAGCACTATCATATCGCATCAGATTTGTGTTGCTGTTGTGTATTGCTTTGTGTAACGTTTTTGTAAAATTATGGAGAACTGTTGTGTGGGAGCATGGGGCTGAGATTTGGAACAGAGTCAGAAAGAGATCGCTAAATTACTCAAACATCTAAAACCTCTTTATGTTTTCGACGAGGGAACAATGTTATAACATGGTAGAAAGGCAAAAATAATTGATGCATAATACCCCCTTCAAAAAATTTAATTGAAATAAGGAGTAATTCAAGATTTCTAGGTAGACATTTTAGACATAATAACATCTTCATGGAGATACTCAAGTGAAGGAGCTTCTAGCAGGAAAGTAATGTGAACGTGTTATATGGCTCTATGGATGGATCTATTGTACAATGATTAGAAAAATGATGGCTGGCTAAATTGTATTCAAATATAATGAATCAATGACAGTGAACCCCAAGGCATGTGTAAAAATGTTCATTACGGGCTTAAAAGCAGACTGTAATGCCATGATGTTCACTTGTTTTCCTGAATCTGTTTTTAAAGCAACTAAGCAGGTCGATATCTGAAGTAAACAAAATGTGAAAGTGACTCACAAGGTCAAGAAATTGACTCTGTGTCTCCCAATGATAAATGCCCGATGGTAAGTAATGAGTGTATGGTAAATAGGCATGTGCAATATCACATTAAATAATTCAGATCGTATTGATAGTTTATGGTAACATCGCGCTGGTGGGTGCTCTACATGTATCTCTGTGGTGGAATCTTTATCAGTTACTATGGTGACACCTGCACACATTAGCAAATACTGCCAACTAAGTTTTTAGATCGTCTGACAACTCAAGACGTTCATCCTGTTAAGGTGTAATTATGAATAAAAATGTATTTCCTAAAGGCACCTGTGCACAGACTAAATTAGTTTGGGGTAGGCCAACAATAATTGGGAATATGACAAGCATCTTCTCAGCAAAAATATTAATTACTTGAGGGAGTTTCAGGGTGCTTTACTGACTCTGCAGAATGTAAGCTTTTTAGTGTTTAGTTGACAGTCCCACAAGCACAGGGAAACAAGAGTTTACTCCTGTGGTGAAAATGTAGGAGCCGGAATTCCAAAATGCGTTTAAAGCTGCAATATATAACTTCTCTTTTTGTCACCATGAAGATGTTATTACTTTGTCTGATTTGTTCCACAGTATGGTTTTAAACTTGTATATAGATCTCCATGGAAACAAGTAGAGTTACGGGTCAGAACTGTGAAGAGGCTTACAGTAAGAAAACATGTTCTTCAATGTACTTATTTTAGCAATGCAAAAAACAGGAACTGAATAAAGTATGATTTGATCAGTTTAATAGCATATTGCAGACATTTTGGACAAAGCAATAATGCCTCTCTATTAAGGCGAGCAGACAGCTAACCTGCCACCAGAAGTTTGCAGAAACTTTAAAGAAGGACTATTATGCGTATTGACGTTTTTGAATCTTTCTGCAATGTTAAAACATTGTTCCCTCATCCCTGAAGTGGTTTTATATGTCATCCATACATACTGGGCTAACCCTGGGCAATATTTGAACCTTTGTTACAGTTTGCAGTACGACCCACAAGCCTACACCCACAAGTAACCCTTGCTCCCATGTAGCAATTTTCCATAGATATAGAAAAGCATGAGACAAAACAACACACAACAACTTCATAAACCTGATGTGATGTGCTGTAGTAATGTGACAGCGCTCTGAAGGGAGAGTGACTTAGCCCAGGGACCAAAGGTAGGGGGGACTCAAAATTGAAACTTATTAAACATTTTGATACGTAGTTGTCCGCAAATATATCGTTATCAACAATAAGAGGCAACATGATGATCTAAATATTTTAACAATTAATAGAAGTGTAACACTTCCTCTTTAAATAAGTCAGAAAATGAGCTGCAAAAACAAGTCTGCTGTGTAACTGGATTTAAAAATGCAGAGCTGGCCTCAATGTGCTAAGTGTTGGTGTGACTGTAGCACTGAGGCGGCACACATCTGCTCCTGTTCAAAACTATTTAGATTCATAAACAGTCAGCACAGCACATCATACTGAGTGTTTCTTTGAGAAGGCTTTAGTTTTTCTGTGTTTGGAACTTCCTGATCAAAAACTAACACTAACCAGTCCAGATTAACGTAAATGCAGGGTTTTACTGTGAAATCTGACAAATCACTCCCAGTCGGATTAGAGGCTAAACCAACATTTGGAGGCTGTGTCCGTCCACGCATGTCTCTCACACTAGATATTAGCTCAGTAACTTTCAAATGGGTTTAACTCATGTGTAATATTATGTTACACAGTGAGTGGAATAAAAATGCAATCATTTTAAAAGAATGCGTACTAGATTGGTTAATTGAAAATTCAATTTAATTTGTAGAGCAAATCGTGAACTCGGATTGAACTCAGATTATTGTCTAGACTGGATACAGCAGATGTTTTTTCAAAGTCATCATGACTCCTGGAGCACCACATTGTTATCACTACATTGTGTTTTTATTCCGTTTAATTCACATTATTCTATTAATATGCAGTGAAGTCATTTTGAAGCTAATTTATACTGATTGAATGTGTAATTGATACAGCCATATGCTTGTTTGGATCGCATATGTTTAATAGGATTTCTACTTTGCTTTAATATCATGACAGTAAATTCAACCACACCAATGAATGAGGCACCAACCAGTATACTCATGAGAAACAGGGTGTATTACAAACTGCTGCATCAGACAGTTAAAGAATCAAATACATTGCAATGATAGAAAAATGAAAAAACTTATTAGATACAAATCATATTTTAATTTGGGCATGGGTATGAATAAAATGGGGAAAACATATCTACAGATGGACATTTATAAGAATGTGTTAAGGATGAGGTTAAAGTCTAAACTGACTCAGAGCAGCACCATGCTCCAGCAATAGAGACCTAACAGGGCTCTGGTTATAGGTCAGGAGCACTTTGAGTGCACTGTGCTGTAAATAATACACACTCATTCATCAAGAGTACACAGATATGAGGAAATAAGTCAAAGAGGTAGTTACTCACCCATAATATGAGAGGGGGGAGATGTGCGAGCTGCTCCAGAGCTGTCTGCAGTTAAGTGCGTCTCCATTAGTGATGGGAGCCCCGTGCAACGACGCTCCTCCTCTCCTTTCTCTCTCTCTCTCCTCTCTCTCTCTGCCTGTCAGTCAGGACCCTGCCCCTCTCGTCCATTGCCTGTATCCAGATGTGTTTTGTGTTGTTGGAAATCACAGCTCAGAGTGATTATGAAAACTGAGGTCGTGCTTCGCTCTAATCCAGATTACAACTCCTGTAACCCCAACACCCCACACAGTACATACAGTATATATACTAACAGTGACTCTCTAATTGCAGCAGCCACAGATATACAGGACCTAATGGCAGCTGTGGTGAACTGTGTCTATTTCTATTGACATCTCAATCTCACTTTACTGCAGATTACAGGGGATTATACATTGTTCCATTCATCAGAAGCAAGTAACAGTATGGGGTCTTTAGATTCCACCCAGAACGCCACAAAACATTAATCAACTGTTTACAAGTTACTGTGTTACTTTACAATATTCACACTTATGTCAGAATGTTAATGCTAATTGAAATTTAATCACTTATTTCTAGCAACCCCCTGTGATAATATAATTTAATATCTCAGAGTTACACATTCTGAATTTCAGTACCAAAAAATGAAACAAACCACATCTAAAAAAGAAGCAATAAATGTCAAAAGAATGAGGCAGGGTTGTCAAAAGTATCAAAAATCTGATTGATTTTAGTATCAAAACTAGATACTTATTTAAGCAAGTATCGATACTGAAAAAGTCGCATTCACTGAACAGAAATGGACATGGAATAGATTCTCCGGAAAATCTTAAGACTTATCTTGAGTTGCATCACAACAAGTATAAGGGCAAATATATGCCCTTGGACCACTATGGACCCTACCTGGACAACTAATGGATTACAGAGATAAAACACCACATGGTAATATATGTATAATGTGCTTAATATAATGTGTTTTTATTATTATCATCATGGTATTAGAATCAGTATTGAGTATTGAGTTTATTCCTTAGTATCAAAATTGAGTTTTAAATGTTAGTACTGTATAGTATAACATGAGGAATGAGGACAACCTGGGCTGTAAATGCAGTTCACCATGCAATAAAGTGGAAGTTTTGCAAATTAAAATAATACTCACTGTAACATATGGTGTGGACAAAGTGTGAAACAACAAACACAAGATAAATAATTTCCACTAAATATATATCTGAAGGTGTAGTTTTTCCTCAGCAATAGAAACAGTGGGAAGTGGTATTTTCAAGTATTTTTACACCTTTTTTGTCAAAATCTGTCTGGTGTGCCTTTAAGCCGCCTATGAGCCAGTATATGGAGCATGAAATACATTTGTGAGTCCACTAGCTCCGCCTTGGCCCACATAACGCCCACTGGAAGTCCTAGAAATGACAACATGAGGAAGAGGGCACTGCAGCTGGGCCAGGAGACAAATAAGCCCCATCCATCACAGACTGTTAGGACTCTACTTAAGCAACTCACCCTCCTATCTTTGACCTGAACACTGGACAAGGAGATTCAGAGCGTGTCTAGCCATTGGGACAACAATATAGTATCATCTTAAAGACGCGTTGTGTAACTTTTCTGATGGAGGGTCTGCCACCTGCTTTTCTTCAAGCAGATGTCATTGCTTTGTCTAGAATGTTTCACAATATAGCATTAAACCTTTTCATGTTCATGGAGACCAAACCCACGCCAAGTTACAGGTTAAATCTGTGGAAAGGCAACCCCGCTCACAGTCAAAATGCATGTTTTTCTAGGTAATAACGCCTGTAATTGAATAAATGTAGAGCTTTTTAATGTCTTAGTGTAAAACATTCCAAGCAAAGCTATGACATTTCCATACACACAACAAGGCGACAAATCCCCAACCAAAATATTACACAGTGCACCTTTAACATAGATGTCTGTAGGTGTAATTTTTGGAGTTCTTAAAATGTTAGTGTCATTCTGTACATGTGCAATGGAATGAAATGGGGAACCAAACTAAAACCTGTGTAAAAATGAGTTCTGATGAGAATACAAGTAATGAGATGGTAGCTTTATATGATTTGCTCTCCCAAATTTCTCTAACAAACCAAACTTCAGTGCTGGGGTTCACTATCAGGTTTCATGTACACATAATACACAAACAAAAAACAAGATTGAAGTCACATTGGCTTGTTTTGGAACTATATTATATGTTGCTATATTTGTTTAAAATAGTATTGTATTCTGCATCAATGTAGGGCTGTCTAATTAATAGAAATTTTATTCAGGATTGAAATCATGCCATTTCTAATGGTCAATGCTGTCATTAAGGAAGACATATTGCGTTTTTTCAGTCAGTTAGTATTGAATTATATTGAACTATACATAAACAAATCTTCATTTTCTTCACTGTGAACTGCAATATAGATCTAAAACAGCATAATAACAGAAACAGGTCCATTGATTTCACTGTTCAAAATGGCAGACCTCATTTCACGGTAGCAAGCAGCAGCGGCTAACCAATATATTTTAGAACCCTAGGTGTATGATTTGCAAGTAATCACAAGGGACATTGGTGGAGATGAAGGGGGAGGGGGGGTTTGAGTCAAATGTCACAAAGTTATTAAGCAGAGGCTAGCTAGTAACAAAGCCACTACAGGGGCAGTGGCTGTCTGCTTCTGCAGAACAGAACAGAACAAAACTCAAAAAATCAAAACATGAAACTTTCTTTGCATTCAAATTTTGTGTTTTGACTATATCTGCCCCAAACCAGGAAGGTGACAGAATGTATAAAACCATGTAAGAAATGTATTTCATTCATCATAAATAAGCCAGCACCAAAATAACAGTATATTCAAGTCATATCAGCCCTTATTCTACATAGAGTATAATCATTAGACACGACACAAAATCACCAACACAAGCATTAAACAGGAAATCTCTGTATGTGTTCTGACTCATCAGTTGAGAAGATAAATTTTAATACAATCTTGGAGTTTATGTTGTGTGTGGATTTATTTGAAACTATAGAGCAACTTCTTTGTGACAACATCAGGAAACAGTTCAATCTAGGTGGAAAAGAGTTAGGTTGTGCAATTGAAAACATAAGTTTGTATCTACACTCATCCATGTTTAGGCCCAAGTGCCACATGCTGGTGAACGGTCTGGTAAAGGTCTGCTAGTTTGATTGATTGGTCTATTGTGTTTTAGTTGACCAAAATTTGTATTAGCTCACCCATATTACATTATATTCTGATCTATGTTATAATATTGTTTGACCCTGATATGACAAGGTTATAATAGATTGGGATAACATGTCTGTTTGGAGCAAAGTCTGGATTTTTGTGATCAATGGCACAAATAAAAAATCTGTATTGTTTTGTTCACAAAATAGGTATAAAAATGTTGACATATCACACAGCCCTATACATTAATTCATGGCTTGTAGAGTCTTTATTAAAGCTTTGGGTCAACTATTTAGTATTATAAGCATTTTTTATGTATTAATAATATAAAAATTCTTGCACTTTAACCCACTTCCTCATGAAAATCTCCGCACTCTTATCTCTGTAGGTTTAATCACTACTTTACATATGAACTGAACCCACACAGCATTTACATAAGCTATAATTAGAGCATGATGATACATATCCTTATATCTATGTCATGCTAATTACACCACCATTACAGCTCTATGAGGGTTGAGGTGGATTTGGGAGAAAGCGTTAGGTCCAAGGGTAGGCCAATACCCCTACCATATACTCCTACATGTAGTGCCCCCCACCCCCTGCACACACACATACACATGCCCGTGCACACACTTGCATACCTTGCCATCTGTTGACACATGCAGCTGTTCAAAAATAGCAGTCACCAGAATCTTCCCCGAGTGGTCAGTAGATAAAGGCAGGAAGGCTCACTTCTTTTCGGGGTCAGGGTGAGTGATTTGATTCTCTGCAATGACCCACGTGCTGGTCCCCGATTGTTCTGGGTCAACGGAAGATTACTGGAATTAACAAGTAAGTTATTATAAGATTATTTGGACTTTCTTGTGGGAGCTGGTTGTCATGTTGTTGTTCCATGTACTAAAGTTGCAGTTTGACCCAATGGGGATACAGAGGAACAGTGCTGTGCTATAGTTTTGAAAATACAGTATAACAAAATTGAATCTCAATATTAGAGCCAATTTACCAAAAAGTAGTTTTCTAGTTCAGTGGTAAATACGTCTTGTATACAGTGTAGTATAAGTTAAAAGGGCATTATGTAACTTTTCTAATAGAGGGTCCACCATCTGCTTGTCACCAGGGAAGTGTTATTGTTTTGCCAACAATGTGCAACAGTAGGGCATTAGATCTACTATCTAGTCGCATGGAGACAAGCAGTTGACACCACCAAGCAAAGTTAGAGGTCAGATCTGTGGAGAGGCGACCTGCTCTAAGAGTGCAGGGTCTCAATTTATTTATTTATTTATTTTTAGCATTGATAACACATTAAATAAATGCATGATAGGCACGTTTCATGCCACACATGGAACAGGTAAACAGTAACATCTCCATGGAGACAAGCGTGCAGACTGTCCACCTGTATATATAATTTGTTCTCATATCACAAAATATTTGACTTTCCACACTTTCCTGTTGTGCATGCTGGTTTGAGGACTCACAATTCAAAAGATAGGTATGTACAAATGCCATTCAATGCTTTGTTTTTAATTGCATCTGTCCTAATTTTTTAACATTTAAAATCCATGGATAATGTAATTTGTCGAACACGTTGGAAAGTATTTTCTTTATATGCAAACTAAACGTACATACTCTGACTGACTTATTTTACTGTTTTCTGTTCATTCTATGTCCAGTTAAACACCTGTCACCACCATGGAGCCTTTTTCTGACCATTTTATGGAATTCCACCCCATCCATGGCACCAACGTCCGGCTAGACTATTCAGGAACTCAGGCCACGAGGGTGGAGAGCTTCGCCAACGGAGTCTGCTTCAGCAAACACCCTCTGAACCCAGGCGAGATTTTCCTCATTGAAATCGAGGACAAAGAATTGGGATGGTGCGGCCACCTCCGGGTAGGCCTGACCTCTCGGAACCCCAAAAACTTGGACGTTGTACCGGAATATTCTATACCAGATTTAACAGACCAGGGGGACAGTTGGATATTCGCCATAACTCGGAATCACAATAAAATTCCTGAGGTGGAACAGGAGCAGGCGGCAGAGGGTGAGGAGGCGGGAGGGCACAGACTTGGACGTGGCGAACCTGAAGATGTAGCAGAAGTACAAGAAAACTCCAAACCTAAGTCTTTTTTCACTGACTCTCACCTGTTCGTAGACAATGTCCGCATCCCAAAGGACAAACTGGTTGGGAGGAGTAGACCAGGTCGCTTTAGTCACATTTTGGATGACTTGTATAAGACTAATGCACTACCCCCGACTGCCAGGAGGAGCAGGATCGGGGTGCTGTATGTGCCAAAGGGGCGGGGCCAAGGGGACATGCACATCATCATCAATGGAGAGGACATGGGCCCTTCAGCCCGGAGTATCCCAACCACACAGCCGCTGTATGCTGTGGTGGACGTCTTTGCTGCGACTAAATGTGTCAGGATAGTGCAAGTAGAGTATGGATGTGAGTACAATAATACATACAAAATAAAAACGTTAATATTTAAATTTAATGGGACAGTCTGGAATTTTGGATATAGGACCTCATTTCCTAGTGAGCCAGAGTGTTGGAGATGTGTGGAGACACTTTTTAAATATTCCATCCAGTCCTTGTATTTGCAGGTCGCTGGTGCTAGGCTAGCACATGTCAATGGCCACAGTTAGCCTGCCACTAAAAACACTCTTACCTAATCCGCAAAGCAACCGAAGCAAAAAATAATAATTATAACGTCAGACTGTCGATGTGAATGTCTGTGTCGACAGAATAATTTTAGAAATAAAACCAACCGTGCATTTGATGGATTTATGTCTGAGCAGCAGCAGCGAATTGTACTTCCTGATAGAAAGCTTGGCAGCAGCGGACTGATATCACCTAGCACCTATCTTACCGGCAAAGTAAAATTCCGCTGCTGCTGAGAAAATAGTCCCTCAACATGCGATGATTCATACAGTGCAAGGTTAGTTTTATTTCAAACATTATTCTATCAACACAGACATTTACACTGACAGTCTGGTGTAATAATAGATTTGCTTCGGGTGTTTTGTGGAGTGGGTAAGACTGTTTTTAGTGGCAGGATAACTATGGCCATTGACATGCACTAGCCTAGCACCAGCGACCTCTGCAAATACAAGGATGGAATATTTAAAAAGTGTCTCCACACGTCTCCAACACCCTGGCTAACAAGGAAATGAGGCACTATGTCCAAAATTCCAGACACTGCCTTTAAATACATACATTTTATACAATGTCCAAATATAACATAATTTTATTGCCAATGCAGTCCCAAATGTGAACTAGGTATTAGGAACCCTAATCAAGGTGTGAAAATCAGAACATCATCGATATTAAAACTAGTATCGAAATTAAATACTTGAGCAGGTATAAAAACTAAAACAGCTGAATCAACAGGATAGAAATGAACCTTTCATGAATTGCTTTAAAATGAAAATTACATTCTGTGGTCTGAAGAGTGTTTTTAATTATCATTGTGGTATCAGAATCAGTATTGAGTATCAAGTATAGTCCATGTCCTTTCTGTAGAAATTTTTGTATTGTGACAACACTACTAAGTATTTATTCAAAATTATTTTGGTCCAGTTAGTGTAAGCAACAGTGGTCAATTGGAAACTAATTAATTGTGCATTATGTAACTTTTATGATGCAGTGTCCACCACCTGCTTCCCTTGTCACAATGGAGATGCAATTGCTTTGCCTGAAATCTGATATGTCATATGTAAATAAGATTATGCCATAGAATATTCCAGACAAAATAATAACACCTCCATGTGGACGGAAGCAAGTGGTGGACCTAACTCCAGAAAAGTTACATTGTGCACCTTTAAGAAGCAATAAAAGCACAGTACTATCATATTGCTTCAATTACTATTACTTCTACTGGCACTGCTATTACTACTGTTCTTTGGGGAAAATATTTTACCTATATATCAAATTTATAACTCAGGGATAAAATAAAATTAAATAAAAAATAAAGGCTTTTGCTTACTGCTATATTTTACATCACTTACATGGCTAAACAACAGACCTTCTTCAATTCAAAGCAAACCATTTAATAATACATAATTCTTATCTTACTACATTAACTAAACCTGCTTACCTTTGTGTCTGTCCTCTCCAGTCTCCTCCTTACAGACGCTCTGCAGGAAAGCCATCCAGAAGCACATAGTCCACAGAATGGCCATAGACTGGCTGGAGCTGCCCGAAGCTCTCAAACACTACTGCAAGTATGAGTGAACAACAACTTCAATGACAGACTGCACTGACACACAGTATTTTAGAAGGCTTACTTACAGTATTTAAACTCACTTTCTGAATTAAAAAAATGAACCACCAGTAACTTGTGTGAAACTGTGTTCTTGTATTTGTGAAATGCCCTGATAAATGTGCACTATGGGAGTTTTCCAAACCTTCTTTTGTCCACGGAGATTATTGTTGCTGTTCAGCCTGAAATATTCCACAATTGGAGATTGCTTTAAATTCAGCAATCTCCAAGGAGACAAGGCAAGAAGGTGACCCCAACAAACAAAACTTTATTTAAAAAAAAACGCCTATCACTGAATAAATTAAAGATACGTTTATAGTACTATTGTGGAACATAGAACTAAAATCAGTGACACTGTCTTGGTATCTTACGTGCTCCAGTGACGCAATCTTTCAGCACGCGGTACTTATAAGACATGGCAAAAGAAGAAATTCAATTTGTCAGCTAGACAAAAGTTTATTTTGGTCGAATACGTCTCGCAAAAGCCATGAATTTTACCTGGACGACAGAGGAATTGTACACATATACTGTATAAGACAGTAACAGAGTGATGCTGGTTGTGAGTTCGAGACTCACCTGGAGCAATACTTTAATAAAAATTTGAACTTTGCACTCAATATAGTCACACAGAAAATCAGTGCAGGTAGCCTATGAAATGCAGCCTAGTAAAAAATGTATGACTCTTCCAAATGTTCTAAAGAAATGGCAAACAACTAAAGCAGACGAACTTCACTCTAAATATTTGTTGGGGTCATTACAGTGTAGAATAGGACATATTTCTCCCATTGCAGACAATAAAGGAATATATTATCTTACAAAATGCAGTTATTCTCCATACAAGTACGTCTGATATCTTAAAATAAACGCATCATTAGTAGAATGTCCAAGCTTTCTTACCACGTGCTGGACAGCGCTGGATCCAAACCACATCACCTTTGAGTTCCAAAAGGTGTTCCAGATTATCCGACAGCGCGCTCTAGCGGCAGGGGACCCTTACTGCAGGAGGCGGAGCGTGCGTAAATCTACTGTAGGATCAGAGTACGCACGTACGGAAAGGAAGAAACGGACCAGTGTGGACACCTGACTCTCCTTTATGAATCCATAGCTACATTAGGCTTTTGACATAAAAGGTTATTATAGACAACCAGCATGTCTTTCTGCCAGTTTTTCGGCGGTGAGATCTACAAGGACCACTTCAAACCAGGTGAGTTTCATAAAGGTGATGTAACGCTGTTTTCTGTGTGGATTAGCCAAGAAGACACCAGTCAAGATGTTATGTCATCCGCCAATGTTATGTTAACAAAAAGGTACGCCAAGAGAAGATCATACAGGTCATACAGTAACACAAACCTTAAAACGCTTTCACTACAGCACTACAGTGAAATTATTCAAATATATGAAAGATATCTGGATGTTTGTTTTTATGTCAAACTTAAGCAAAGTTACTTGATATAGTAAACCCTGGCAACATTTTATATTCACACGGTTAACTTTATGCTTCAGGTCGAGATGTTTTGTTCGGTAATCGGTGTACAGGCGTCATGTGTGCTCCCTGATGTGCTCCAGTGGCGTAATCGGTCAGCGCGCGGTACTTATAAGACAGTAACCTGCAGAGAGATGCCGAGGTTGTGAGTTCGAGTCTCACCTGGAGTAATAGCTTTAAATAGTTCAAGATAGGAATGAAAGACCTTACAAGAAATATGGATTAAATGTCAATACTGGAATTATTGAATGTAGTTAAGATTGCTGTAGAAGTACCTCTCAGTAAATTTACTCATGCGAGCTCCAGTGTGGCTTTCAGTCAGACGACTGTACTTACACAACAGTGACCTGCACAGTGATGCTGAGGTTGTGAGTTCAAGCCTCACTTGGAGCAGCATTGCTGTTGCCTATTATAATATATACAAAATTGATTCTCTCTAGGTATCTATGTCTGCTCCCAATGCAGCCACCCTCTGTTCTCCAGTCGCTCCAAGTTCGCTCACTCATCTCCATGGCCTGCCTTCACCGAGACCATCAGAGAGGACAGTGTCACCAAACACATGGAGAGCCTGACTGCTTTCAAGGTACACAACACTTACAACAATATACAATATGAACAACAATCATATTCTAAATTTTGCTTTGATCGTTTTAGGTTTTGTGTGGCAAATGTGGTAACGGACTTGGGCATGAGTTTGTAAACGATGGCCCTAAAGAAGGAGTGTCTAGATTTTGAATATTCAGTCACTCACTCAAGTTTGTCCCCAACAAAGGTAACATATGCATCATTCATTATTTAATGAAAGTGCTGTTAAAGTGGCACTATGTTTTCTGGTGGAGAGTTCGCCATAGTGCCATGCTGTGGAACATTTTTGCCTATGTAAATAACTTCTGTATGAAGACTACCAAGTACTGAACCCACCACAAGAAAAGTTACAAATTTCACCTTAAATATAATGACATATGTAAATAGATAGCTATAGCTATAGCTATGGTCAAAACCTTTACAGGTTTCCAGTGTAGAAAATTGAGAAGGAAGTGTTTTGCAACATCCTTCTAATTTCTTCACAGAGCAAAGGAGTATGGGTAATTTCCTAATTTTTAACATACCACTGCAGCAACATGAGCTTAGCCTATATTGTGAATGTAAAGTTATGACTGCTGAGTTGTCCCCAATTCTCAGAAAAGCAACAAACATAACTATACATTTGAATTGTGATGTGTTTTCTTAGGGAACAAGCGGTAAAGAGTGAGCAGACGGTTGCACACTTTGAATTCTGCTGCTCGTCCAGGACTGGAGCACAGGAGGTCAGGGAGTGATGAGGGCAGGATAAAGGCCTGAAGGACATCCTGTCAGCTGAAGAGTCTGACCCTCTGTGACCCCAGAAAAGGACCACATTTCATTATATTTTGGGCATTTTACGTTCCATTTTTTTTCATTGACGATTTTTTTTTCATGGTTATATTTTTAATTTGAGGAAGTAGCGAAATTCAAATTGGATGTGGAAGTAGTGCTATAAGATTGTTAACCTGCAGAGTGATGCTGAGGTTGTGAGTTCGAGCCTTACCTTGAGTGAAGCTAGCCACTATTCTTAGTTTCACTTCTTAACCCTCTGTAAAGTGAAAGTCAGCGGTACAAATGGACTTTGAATAACTTGCCAATTACATACAGAAACTGTGAATCAAAATGCAATTGACATATAGGCAGCGGAACATGCTCCAGTGGTGCAATTGCTCAGAGTGCGGTGCTTATAAGACAGTACCCTGCAAAGTGATGCAGAGGCTGAGTTCGAGCTTCACCTGGAGCAACACATTTACACTCTTAAAACAGCTTCCATTGTGTATAGTTTATATGCAAATAGATTTGTGGCTGCTTCTTGGTTATGTCAACAGGCTAATATACTTGAAACAACCTCTCCATGTTCTGTACACGTTAATGCAAAATACACTATGCTGGTGTGTAGCTCCAGTGGTGCAATCGGTCAGCACTACTTGTGTGACAGTAACCTGCAGAGAGATACTGAGGTTGTGAGTTCCAGCCTCACCTGGAGCAATACCACTGAGAGTTAATAATGTATTAATTTTAAATTGTACAAAATAAAAATCTGTTTTCTTTAGATTAGTTAATCACATTAATGACACCCACTGTTCCTGTTCCACTCATGTTACCCTGACATAAAAGACCATTCAAATTCTACTAATAGAGGAATTTTAATAAGCAAATTATAATTTTGCTAAATAGTGATGGGGATCATTTTATTGGCACAGCACGTTGTATGAGGCGTATGATTTGAACAAATAATCTTCATCATCTTTCATCATTTTCTTTTCAGTGTTTCTTTTCCGATTTTCATTTTATAGACCAGCCCTTCATAAATTCCGTTTTAATTACGCACATGTGCTCCAGTGGCGCAATCGGTTAGCGCGCGGTACTTATAAGACAGTAACCTGCGGAGTGATGCCGAGGTTGTGAGTTCGAGCCTCACCTGGAGCACAGCATGAGTATGTATTTTTAAGTTTACCGTCTATGCAATGATTTTATTTTGTGACTACATGTATACAAAAACACACTTTACATAGAGGCCTATTTATTTGTTGTCCCATTAAATTATATATTTCCAAATGCTGTTAAAGTCTCTAAAATCTGTCTATGCTACAAATAAACTCTATTTCAGTAAGTCAGTGTCGTGCTCTTTCTTGTACGTAATACTGTATAATTTACTTTATCCAGGAGAGGGAGCCCTACACCATATGTCCGAGTATTCTACAATAGAAGACTTAGTACGTACGTTTAGGCCTATGTTCTGAAGTCTGTGATAAAATAAACGACACAAAATAGGCTATATTTTGTATTTTGTAAATAAAATAAACTGGGGTGGATGATCTAAAGGATGAATGAAGCCACTATCTTTATGTATTACACACTAGGTCCTATATTTATTTTAGATACATGTCATTTATGTGTAAAAACAAAAATACTGCACATCTGATTAACTTGCCCCAATCAACCTTTTACTTAACATGTCTACTATCAGCCCCTCAAATATTCAATGTATAAAGCTAAAAATAAGCAATGTGTAGCCTACATCAAAAATCTATAGCTAAATTAGACCCAGGTTATTTCCGTCCATCGTCTTCACAGATAAATACAATCTACAGTGACAAATCAATCCAAACAAAAAGTAGATCCCGTAGTTTGAATAGTGGTTTCTTGTGTCTCATTCTTTTGCTGAAATGAACTCCAGTGTGGCTCTGAATGTTGTGGCTTGCATGGCTCAGTACATTTCCTCTGGTGGTGTCTTGGCAGGAGAACACTGGTAGATCCTTTCTACTGAGAAAGTGAATGAGTATAAACATAAGGGTTTGTCCCCTTACTTTATAATAGGTGGTCTACACACAACTATTTTTTAGTTGCTATTTTCATTTCTTTTGATGATTATAATATTACTTAAATGTTGTTACAGTGGAATAATGTGTCAGACTGATAAATGGTTTCGTTAGGCCTAAATGTTTTATGCATTATAATGCAATATTTATCTACAGAAATAAATGTTTAAATGTTAAGATGCATAAAAGACCAATATATTCTTAAATTCAAATTAGCAATTTTGTTTCATTTAGGCCTATTATTTAATTTTCATTATAAAAGTGAACATGTTTATGTTGCCATACATATTTATTTGATTCTGTTTTTGGCTGCTTCCACCTGTTGGTGGCAGATGTGAAACCTGTTCAGCTTCCCCTCCCTTGGCTTTTGTTCAGGTTCACCTGTGCTCTCAGGTCTTCTTCTGTCAGCCCAAAGCTGGCACACTATCAGACTACAGTAACACAGACAGCATCTAGTCATGATATGTGAGAATACAACGGGGTGGGTTGGCCAATATTATTATGGATGGTAGCTTCAAGTGGTATTATCAAGAGTAATATTTTGGCCTTGAACAGGTCTGATTCAGGAGCAGTATATTTCGCACTACGTCTAAACAAAGAATAATTTTAAATAAGACAAAAAGGTGAAAATCAAACTATAAAGAAATCTTGTTTGATAATATTTCATAGTGCTGCCATGGCCCAATGGTGGCCTTAATATGGATCTATTGTTTGATCAAATAATTAGGCAACTAAACTACAAAGTACTACCCTTTCACTTAACTTTTCTTAATTAATTTCCTTTGTCTGGCAGTTACCAGCCCATCCACACTGTAAAAATGTGAATCTGCAAAGGAGTGTCTTGGCAAAATCAGAAATAGCCTGGATCACAAACACGTCAACTAGTTCAAACAGTGCACGCAGTTCACAGAAATCCTTCGTACGGCATTTATGAGGCACATGCATTCATTTATCTGTACATCACTATCTCCTGTACACTTTCAGTTTTCAAGGTGAATTTTGTCCAAAAGGGAGGGGTCACCGTGCCGCCTGCAGTGCATTAACCCGGTCTTGTAGAGGGGGCTGTGGGGGTATAAAGTGTACGGCGATGAAAGAGCGCGCAGAGGTTATCCTGGGGACGGCTGTATCTGCTAACAGTTCAGTTCTAAACACGCCGGAGTCGCGGTTACCTCCAAGGACCCCCGTCTTTTAGAGCAGAGATGCAGGTGAATGAGAGGAGAGATGGAGCGACAGAGGGAGGGAGAGAGGGGGGGATCGAATGGAATGGTAAATGTCTATTTTCAGTTTGTTGAGTACATACATCACACAAATACAGAGCTCTAAGTGATACCTATCGTGAGTTAGCGTTTTAGACATAGACATTAGAAGTTTCAAACACACTATTATATATCAGAAGAACAGTAACTGTTAGAAGTTAACTGTAGCTGCTGAAATCAGTGCTGCTCTACAGACAGTGAAACTGGAAGAATCTAACAAGACTGAGATGCCTTCAGTTAGAGCAGAGATGGCGGCTCAACCACCACAGTCACAAAAAAAGTCAGAGGTAAGTCTTCTTTCTCTCCTGACCAACCATAATTCCCTCACTCTAATCCTGCAGAGAACATCAACCCAGCAAAGAAAACAAAAGCTATGCCCAAAGCCAAAGAACCAGTGATGGGCAGATGCAAAAGACAGAATAACTTTAAACTTCCCCAACATTTGAGGAATGTTGACGAACCCGAGGAAAAGCACATTTCAGAGACACATATTTTCAAGGGATTTTCAAGGCTTCCTTCTGAGTTGATGGACAGTGATTGTGATATGGATGATTTTATGGCTAGATGTTTGAACCCACCCATCAGCCCTGAGAAAAATAAGAAGGAAAAAAAGAAAGCATCTGGAAAATCTTTAGAAAAAAAATTGAGATACTGAAAAAGTTGAGATGATCACTAATATCATACATCGTCCAAATGACCATGGAGCTCTGATAGATAACAAACATACTCAAAAGAATGAGGAGCCTACGGTTGTCATCAAAGTGGAACCTCAATCACCAGAGTCCAAGATGTTGATCTCCATAACATTATCATATCAGGTGAGGCAGATAGTGTAGAAATGAATGAACAGAAATGCCCTGAACTAGTAGAGCCTACTTTAGTTCCTCTGAAACCAGAAGAGATAAGCAATACTCAATATTAGGACATGGAGCAACCTCCAAAGTTAAAAGAGAACCCAGAAATTCTCATTAGTAATATTGAAGATGTCTGTCCATCAGCTGGTATATCTCTGCTACATAAAATAAATAAAGACAATTCAAATCAAACAAAAGTTAAAAGATAAAAACAAAAGGCTTATAAGAAGGCATCTAAAAATGTGACTGAAGTTGAGATGGTCACTAAAATAACAGATCCTCCAAATGACCATGATCTAATTGAGAACAAACTTACTCAAGAGACCAAGGAGCCTACTGTTGTAATCAAAGAGGAACCTAAATCACCAGAGTCCACAGATGTTGTCAAAGATGATTCCAACTGTGTTAGTCCTGCCCAGAATGACCTGACTAACCCTACTAAAGCTGGTGGGAAAAAACAAAGACACTCGAAAAGGCAAAACAGGAAAAAGAAGACCTGTCATAAAACCTACTGCTGAAACTAAAGTAACTGAAAAATAGGCTGCAGTGGAGGTGACACGCACTGAAACTGGCAAGACCATAAAAGGGGACCTTCAGCTAGAGTCCAGGTTCAATCAGTAAAGACAAAAAAAAAAAAAAAAAAAAAAAAAAAAGACTAAAGAGAAGTCTTCCAGCACTATTCCTGCCCAAGCTCAATGGAAACCCTCAAACTAACAAGCCTGAGGAACCTCCAGTTGGCGGCTCAACCATCAGCACTGCACGATAAGGACACCAAAGCACCAAAGACAAATGTTCACAAAGCCAAGGAACCAGTGATGGGCAGATGTAAGAAGCAGGATAACTTTAAACTTCCTGCACATTTGAGGAACGTTGAGGAGCTGGAGGAGAAGCAAATTTCTGAGACAAATATTTTCAAATGATTTTTCAGGCTACCTTGCAGTTTCACCAAGAATGATGGGGATATTGATGCTGTTTTGGATAAATATTTGAACCCACCCAAAGCCTAAGAAAAAAAAGGAGACCTTTTTGCCATTGAAAACATAGAACATCAATGTTTTCAACAATGTTGTTTTTTTGGCAGCGGTTCTAGCACCAAAAACATCATAACCTAACCTATTGTAACAGATGATTATTTTCAGACTTTAACTTTCAGACTAAGACTTGGACTTTAACTTACCAAACTACTGCTACTAAACATGATTTAATAGTGGCAGTTAATTTAAAAACTACTAGTTTACAAACTAAACCTTAGACTGGAATTAAGAATATGTAAGAATAAATTATTAGAATTCACCTGATTGGACCAAAACCTAACAACTGAAATGATGCAAGATGACATCCAACCAACAGCATTCAAAGAGCTTCAGTATCTTGAATCTGAAGAGACTGAAGGAACCCTGGAGATGGATGTGTAGATGTCAAACCAACTTCACCAACCGGAGAAGGAGGAGAGTCAGTAGGTTCTAGCACTGTGGTGTTTTCTCTCAAATGTCAGATAAACATTTATTTAGCAAATATCTGTGAGTTATTGATATATTCTCGTTCCTTATATCTTGTTTAACTGTATGTAAAAAGCTAAATAAAAAGCTAAATATTTAAATTCTGGTTTTCCTAGTGTATAACTTCAAAAATTTACTTGGACTTGTCATTTATTATTCCTGAATTGGTACTTCATTAGAACTGGAGAGTACAGTGCTTTGTAAAAGCAGCACTTAGCAACAAAATATGACTGCAGTGAGCTATCTGCATCTAAAATTAAAATATGTTTCACTTCTCCATTAAAAAAAGATTTTTAAGTCATGCATGCAGCCAAAAATAAATAAATTAATTAGTTAAAAATTAATTAATTAATAGTGAAAAAATCACATGTTTTGGATGTAGGCCAAGAAGCAACCTTTAAGTACATATGGTAGGTTTTCATGTTTTATTACTTGGTTTAGTTGGATAAAATCTTTAAAAGAAAAAAGGTAGTAGTGCAGTGAAAACATCTATCTATGTCATTAATCTCGAAAATTCCAACCAAAAGTGTAGGGATAAATTAGGCATAATAATAAAGGATTACTGAAACGTGTGAATGAAACAAAATACTACTCCAGGTTTGTTTCTGAGCAGGTAACAGCATTCTAACATAACTTAAAAGTCACAAGAGTGAATTTTGCACAGTATAGGACCTTAAAGTTACCTGCAAATATTCTTTGACACCTTACTGACAACCCACATAGCCTTTGTCAGTTGCACATAAATCTTATTCTTTATACTTGCCAATGTTTATCCATTCAAATACACCACAACCTATCACTTACTTTCGCAACTAACGGTCACAACATCTCCAATCTGTTTTTCCATTTATCATTATTACTTCAGTTGGACACTGCGAAAACAAGCTATCTAAAGCCTAAACAACTTACAAGTGTATTCACATAAGATAAACATTGTTAATTTGAACTAAGCGAATGATTGTGAAACTCTCACTATGTGGTAGGCTATTGGCAAAGACAACATTTCGAGTTCAACTTTACACACTTATGATTTTGGCTTCCAGATCAGATAAGATGATTACTTCAAATCACTCAACCGTACCCCGGAGCCTTGCAAACAGGTGTGTGGCAGCCATGTTGGATTACAACTGCCAAAAACATCTTCTCGTACTCTCTGAACTGCATCCCTTAATATTATCGTTTTGAAGGGGGTACAATGGCGTCTGTCACTTCAAATCCCAGAATGCACTTGTCTTGTCTGGGCTTGTTGTTTAGCACCATAGGAATGAGTGATGTAATGTAATCATATTATTCTGTGTTGGTTTGTTAAAAAGGAGGGCGTGCCTATGAGATCACAGTTGCCGCGGCGATAAGTGCTCTGGGTACCGTCTGTGGAGCGGTGACGCAGGATGATGACACGTTGGGGATGGGGTCAGGGGGAGAAGTGCCAATGGGAATCTTGGTTTTCTTTTTGACGTGAGTTAATTGGGAAAAAGGGTGTATGCTCGATCTGATAAATGATTGAAGAGGAAATCTGATCATGTTATGGCTACAGCTTAATTTCAAGTTAATAACATTGCAAATACTTGAGGGACATGCATTCATTCTCACATTGATTCAGAATAGACAATTTAGTTTACCCACTCACCTCTACGTATTATTCCGGTGTAGATTATGCTCTTACTATGTTGCAATGATAATACTTTTAGAACCAGAGATCTCTTGGTTAAGGGGTAAATTTTCATCCCCTAAAGCTAAACATTTGAGCATGATGAACTTTGGAGGCTTAAGTTAGTGTTTTGTCCCAATTTGTAATCTTCTTGGAAAATCCTCTTAAAGCTGATATGACTTATTCAAAATTGTATTATTATTTGTTGAGGATTTTTTCTTCATAAATCCAACATTTTAAACCTGTTTTATATCAGCGTGTATTATATTTCTAATCTTTCAGGCTTCGACAATTAAAGCTATACTGGGTAACAAAAGCAAAAACTTTCCATGGAATGTCCCCCAGTATGATTAAACACAGTTATCTCTATGGAAACAAGCAGATGACGGCAGTAGGCCGCGTGACAGCTCAGATCTGCCGAGAGCTGAACTCACTCACAGTAAGAATATATATTTTTCAAGGTATTTCTGAGCAATAAAAAACCCATATTGAATTAACTCATAATGAAGTAAAAGATATACTGGCGTTTAAAGTCATACTGTGGGGCATTCCAGACAAAACAACAACATCTCCATGGAGACAACCAGGCCGCGAACCCCCACCAAAGAACTTATAAATGCTTACTGTGCATTGGGTATTGAGATGGATATTCCGTGGCCTACAACATCACTATAATGTACTTTCACTTCAATTGGTTAAACTTTCATCATTATCGCTTGCGTTAAAAGACATCGCTCCCCGCCCTCATCCATCTTGTTATGACGTCTCCTGTCCCGTGTCCCAGTATATGTCCCTCTTGTCCACTCCCTTGTCCACTCCACACCTCGTCCTCATCCCATCACTCTGTCTTCTCACGTCCATTGAGCTAATCGCCAATAAGTCAACACGCAGTCCCAGATATCGACACCTCTGGTCTCCACTGGGCTGTTGTTAGGGACGACCAGGGACCAGTCTGATGGATGGATGGTGTCTGTAAGTGTCCCTCAATGAGCTGTGGATGAAATGTCACCACCAGAGCGATATGTCAGCGTCATTCAGCAAAGCACTTTTAGCCTTTTAGAGGACTGCTAGAGGAAAAGAATCTGCAGGGAATTTAAAAGCCATTTCTGGGCAGTGTTTTCGGTACTTTAGTAATTTTTGGCTGGTTTTCAGATGACATCATAACATTCTATTACAGCTATCCAATTTACTTTGCAGTCACATCATGCCGAGGGTGTTCTACATGTATGTGTATAGTGAATGTTCATCAGTTACTATGGTGACACAATGCACACATTAGCAAAGACAACCAAAAAAGTTTTTAAAGGTTCTGAAAACTCAAGAAAAAATACAAAATGGATTTAAACAGCACATTTTCAGGAGCCTGAGATCAATACTTGCGTTCACAGTTCAGACAGAGCAGTGCCTACAGTTAGCATCACACCTGGAAAAATGTTGATGAAAGTATCAATTGGTAGTTTTCAGATTCCACAATGGGATGCAGTCCTAATCCCAGATGGGGGCAAGAGTCAGTTTCCCCTATTGATCACATTTTACTTTGCCATGAAATGCCCAAAAGATAAATTCTGAAATGTTGAACCTGGTATTTTCAGTTATTGACTAAACCCAAGAAGTCACTGTATTACAACATAATGCCGTGTCATGTAATGCTTTGTTTTCAGGTTGAGAGAAGAACTCCTAAATATGCAGGGTTGTATGTTGTAAACATGTGAATGAACGAAAACACAATTCCAAGTATGTTTTTGTAGCCTGATTCATTGTCTGACCTCGCAGCATTAGAATTCCTTTGCTTGACAGTAGGCAAGTACTTTTTTAAGTTTAACCAATCGCTGCTATTTGTTCATGACGTATGTAATGCGCCGCTAATGGGGCTAACTGGTATATTAAGCTTTTCAAAAATCCTGTAGGAAGAAGGGCAATAACATCTTTCCCCTTGATAAAATTCACCAAACATTCTCTTTATCTGGCTTTAACACCTCGATCTCAGGAATCATTGCCAACACAGAATATATAGCTCTTCGTTGACTGGCATTACCGGGGTTTTGCGAACCATCTAGTGTATTCTGATTAGTGACCTAGTCGCTGGAGAGAAAAGAAATTGAGCAGAGGCACTAGGTGGCACCAGCCTGGCTAATGTTTTTGATGAGGAAACAAAATTACAGAAATTTAGTATATATAATATAGGACCTTTAAACAAATTTTATGGATCCACAAGGGAAATTGCTAGAATTCAAGGTATTTCTTTAGCATAAAAATGTATTTAAATAAATGCAAGATAGACATGTTTAATATCATACTGTGGAACATTCCAGGTAAAGCTATAACATCTCCATGGTGACACACTCCATGCCAGAAATATTAACACAAGTGGTCAAAATCACCTATATCAGGCATACTCAAATCTTATGTTAAAACATATATCTATATCTATATCTATATCTATATCTATATCTATATCTATCTATATCTATCTATCTATATCTATATCTATCTCTATCTCTCTCTCTCTCTCTCTCTCTCTCTCTCTCTCTCTCTCTCTCTATATATATATATATATATATATATATATATATATATATATTCTATATTTTCCCTCTTCATGCAGTATTCCTTCTGACAGCGGAGCTGCTGTTTGTAAACACAGACCCCAGCCCTGCCTAACTGTATTATGGTCAGACCTGCACCCATAAACTACACAAGGGAGGCACCCATGTAAACGAATACCAGCGTAATCCTTAGAAACCAGCGTGAGGGAGAGAGAGAGTGGTTATGGCCTTGTTTGTTTAGTCTTCCACTGTCACTGAGGTATAATCGTGTGGTTTAAGCCTCCAAATGGCTTCTCCTCCTCTTCATCTCTCCATCTCGTTGCGCACACTTCACTGATTCTACTGTTTAAATAAAAGAGATACATTATCCCGAAATGGGCCAAGTATAAACCAGATGTTTATATGAAAAATAGACAAATACTAATTACAGTCTTAGTTCAATTATGTAAGTTTTGAAAAGTAACAGGCCTTTGATTTTAAGTGCATGTTTTGCCGTGTTCTATGGGAATTTATAATGGGCACCTTTTCTAACCACTTTTGTTTAGTATAAAATTAGAAAAAATGTAATATCTTACACATTCATACCCTGAAATGGAATGTATTGAATGTATAATGCTTGTTTTAATTGTTCAATGGTTATTCAAAAGTTTAAATGTTCTATATTACACAAAACTGAGTTGTGAGCTTTAAAGCATGTTTTAATTTGTTACCTCATCAAGAACATACCTGGAGTTGTGTCTTGTTTTATTCACACATGTTTGAGTAATCCTGTCTCCAAAGTTAAAAATGCTCTGTTCAACCTTGTGATGTCATGCAGTGGTAGTTTTCAAGTTAACAGCTATGTTTTAACTTTTGTTTAGAAGAGATTGACAATTCCAGGGACGAAATCATTCAACTGATTCTAGTGAAGGTGTATGGAGTTTAAAAACACTGTGGAGCACTTGCTGTATTACGACATGACATCACAAGCGTGTTTTCTATTTGAGAGAAGAACTCAGCCTAAATATGCAGTTTTTGTGTGAATGAAACAAAACACAACTCCAGGTATGTTTGTAATGAAGAAACAAGATTATAATATACATCAGAAAACAGTTTAAAGGTATTGTGGGAGATTTTTGCTGTTATAAAAATATGAAAAATAGAACTAGTTCATTTTAAACAGTTTGCAGAAGTTCAAACTTATTTCTCATTTCCCTAACACATTCCAAGCATTCTAATTATGCGCTGACATTATAATGAGGTTATATAAGTGCAGAGCTGAGGTTTGCCATCACCCCACAGCTAACAATAACTAGCTGGTTCCTGTTTCGTGGACAATAACAACTTTAAAATTACAGCACACAACTGTCACATTTACAAGCTTTTTAGGAACTGCTCTTACAATGTATTTATAGGGCAAAGCAATTTTTACTTTTTTACATGAAAAATATTGTGTACAGCCCCTTTAACTTTGAACGCACTGTCTTAATCGCAATAGTTTTCTCTTTGTTATTGTACATTGGACATATTGTCTTATGTCTTATGATATGCCCCTGCATATCATATTTTCATTGAGATAAACTGCTCTGTTGAAATGGCACAGTTCACATCTCTTCTCATTGACCTGGGTGATTATAGGTTACTGCATGAATGAGCTCACGGCTGTAGATCATGGAATTGTATGGTTTTGGGACTTCTCTCTGGTCAAGCACTAAATCGCAATGCAACTGTAGCGTGAACCCCACATTCTTGGATCAAATGAGAGAAGAATAATACAAAGGGTCAAGGCAGTACAAAGCTGGGCATGCTGTCCTAAATGAACAGGACTGACCTATAACGTATTATCACTCTAGCAGTTTTTACTGTGATAACCAGTGGTCGAAGAAGTACTCAAATTTGTTACTTGAGTAAAAGTACAGCCAGCAGAGCAAAAATCTAAGTAGTTATACCTTTATATATATATATATATATATATATATATATATATATATACACACACACACACACATATATATATCCTTTAATTACAAGTAGTTTTATAGCTTAAAAATTCTTTTTAAAAAAACAGGCATTCTGACTGTGAGTGGGGTTCCTCTCAAATTATCGACCTGTAACTTGGTCTGGTTTGGTCTCCATGAATTTAGAAAGCTTTAATACAATACCGTGAAACATTCCAGACAAAGCAATAAAATTTTTCATGGTTTCAATGGCTATTTTTATGATTACATTGGGAACTTTTATCTTAAGGAGATAAGAAAAGTATATGGTCTTAAAGTAATAACACGTAGGCATCATGGTGTCACCCCTTTTGTTAGTCTCCATGGAGAAAAGCATTTAACACACCCTTTAGCAGAAAAGTTACACAATGCACCTTTATAGTACTAAAGTAATTTAAAAATGCATTTAAAAGAGTAAAAAGTAAAAGTATTTCACACATCTTTTGTGTGTAAAGCTTCAAATGTAGTGATTTAGAAAAGTTATTTTTTTCAACAAAAACAGCTGAATTCATATTTTTCTCCTAGCTGTTTGTGTTTGCTCAAGCAACAAATGTGTTGAAAATAAATCACTCAGTCAGCAGTCCTCAAACAGTAATAAAAAATACTTTTACTTTTCAGTCCAGTTCAAAAATGTAGTGTAGTAGAAAGTATAGATACTTTTTCTCAAAGGCTGTGAAGTAAAAGTAAAAATCCACCTAAAAATGTACTAAAGTAAAGTACAGCTACCTTATTTTTTACAGTACAGTACTTTACTGCTTTTACTTTGTTACGTTCCACCACTGATGACTTACCTAAAGTCACCTCCAAGCCACTGCCACTGTTTCATGACTATGTTTATGTCAACAAATACCTGGTTTCAATGACTATTTTTATGATTACATTGTGAACTCTTATCTTACAGAGATAAGAAAAGTATATGGTCTAGGAAAAACACATTGGTATTATGGTATCACCCTTTTTGTTGGTGTAAGGAATAAAATCCCTTTGTAACTACTGGATATTACAGGGAGAGTGTGTGAAATGATTAGAAAAACTTCTTGAAATACGCATTCAGTTTAACAATAAGTTGAATTTACATGACATCACATTATTCAAGAAAAAAGAAATATTGCAGATTTGTTGACCTGGTGTACGGTTAGTAATATCTTTGTAATTACCTGTCCT